TATTTTAATTATTTTTTTAATAGGGAAAAATATTTCAAAGTAAATTCCTAGTAAAGCATTACTAGGAAATTACGAGGAAAGTGGAAAAACATTTCGAAGTAAATTCCTAGTAAAGCATTACTAGGAAATTACGAGGAAAGTGGTTACTAGGAAATTACGAGGAAAGTGGTTACTAGGAAATTACGAGGAAAATGGTTACAAGGAAATTACGAGGAAAGTGGTTACTACGACTTTACGAGGAAAAAGGCTTTACGATGAACATGTTTCGACGAAACGCGTTTCCTCGTAAATTCCTAGTAAAAGGTCATTTACTAGGAACTAACGAGGAAAACCTACCCTAGTAATGGACAAGTTTTCTTGTAGTGATTACTTAAACATATGTTACTAAACTCTAACCGATGAAAAATCATGACGACATATTTACATCCAACTAAGAGTTACATGATAGGGATATCAGTTTGTTGTTTCACCGATGATTACTAAAATATTCTGCTAGTCGGGTCATCATACTCATTGTTTTTCAGCAAACTAAAAGTTACATGATGGGGATATCAGTTTGTGACTAACAAACTTGTAGTCTATTTTATCAATTTGTGTCCGGTGTCTTGCTAAATAAATAGTTAATTTGTAGAATACTCATTATTATGATTGCCAACTAACTTTAGACAATGACTTTATTATACTCGAATAATAATAATGAAAAATTTGTCAACTAAAAAAAAAAAATTAGTCAACTAGCGTTCCAAAAAAAAAAGGTCAACTTATCTCTTGTACAGAATCAACAAGAAACTTTTCATTTCTCTTCAAATGACAATTCTATAAATACCACTAAACACCCAGCATTTATCTCCACCCATCTCAAAGAATATAAACATACATACTACTTGCTGCTGAGCTTTTGTTTTTAAGTTTTTCTGGTGCACAAACAAATGGCTCCAAGAACCTCTCTTGCACTCTTTCTTTTCCTTAACCTCCTCTTCTTCACTTACACTTCTGCTCAAGGCACTTGTCCTTTAGATTCCCTTCAGATCGATGTTTGTGTTAATGCGCTCAATTTAGTTAACCTTACATTGGGAACACCTGTACAACCATGCTGCTCGATCATTAAAGGTTTNTGGTGCACAAACAAATGGCTCCAAGAACCTCTCTTGCACTCTTTCTTTTCCTTAACCTCCTCTTCTTCACTTACACTTCTGCTCAAGGCACTTGTCCTTTAGATTCCCTTCAGATCGATGTTTGTGTTAATGCGCTCAATTTAGTTAACCTTACATTGGGAACACCTGTACAACCATGCTGCTCGATCATTAAAGGTTTGGTTGAACTTGACGCTGCAGCCTGTCTCTGTACCGCGCTCCATGCCAACATTCTTGGCATCGACCTAATTAACCTTCCTATCAGTCTCAGATTACTCCTCAGTGGTTGTGGCGGAACAGTTCCACAAGGTTTCCAATGCGTGTAAGTTAAATATGTATGACATTCCAAAGACATACCTAAGAAAATAAAAAGGCTGAGCGTGTTGCCTATCCTCTTGTTTGTTTTTTAAAAAAAACTGGTGATTGCTTTTGTGTTTATAATTTCCTTCGACTGAATAAAATGATGAACGTACGTTCTCATGCAATAATGAATAATGGGGTTTGTGCTGTGTATCGGCAAGTTCGTTCCCCTTTTGCTTCATTGTTTCTCCATATCTATCTTTCGTTGTAATTGTTTCTTTTGAATTTGATTAATAAAAGTATCGATCTGTGTTGTTGTCTATATCGATTATACGTCATCCAAAAAAACAACATGGAGAATAATTACACGATCATATTCTTTTTCAAGTAAGTAACGAAACCGAACCAAACGTATCCAGCTTTATTTGGCTGAATAAAATTCAGTTCTAGTTCGATCGAATTAACTCCAAACTAATCTTTTGTTAACATATAGAAAATTTTACCAAAAATTAATCGTCGAACAAATTCAGTTAAGTCAAACATATGAATTCCAAATGGCTCTTTGATAGGCAAAAATGGTGGGTAATGTTCCTGAGCAAAGTTGAGTCACACCTAGTGCGAGTGTCGAGCTGCAAAAGCTGAGTCGTATTGGGCTAAGTGGCTGAATCCGTTATTTGATAGCCCCTATGGAAGGATGTAATCCATCTTTTACCGCCCAACATGTAATAATATACCAAATAAGGATCCAAAGTGAGAGCTAACAATACGAAGAACTTAATAATATGTAAACGATCCAGGTTTGAAACAAAAGAAAAAGAATTTGGCTTCGCCCGGGTACACCACGAACTTTGGATTGTTTGCAAATATCAAGAGAATAATATGCAACAACTAGATTGAGTCAACTAGATGAGAACTGAGATTTGATGTTCTTCTATCATACGAGGAGCTTTCTTTACATAAGGTTATATCAGTAAGGTTCTTGCTTTGTAGTCTGTAACTTGGTATAATGACAACTTGAGAACTCATCTTTCAAAACTAAACAAACCTGATTAAGGGTTTAGATTTCCAAAGCTTAAACGTTGCGCCATATTTAAACTGTACAAGTTTTTGGCAAAAAAAAAAAAAATAAGAAGAAGAAGAAGAAACTGTTTAGTTACCGTCTTCTGGTTTCTATAAACCACCAGACTAGATGAACATGAATACAGCATGACAACAGCTTCTCTATCGCCATGCTATCGAGTTGGCACTGACAAATCTTATGAGTTTTGATGCAAACTTAGTGGTAAAGGTTCTAGTTTGAACACTACGATGAATTGCGTCATCATTTATTTTCCTATGTCAACACTCAGTTCAACAAAAAGATCAAAGCTTTTTAATGCGATAATGGCACTGCTTATAACAACAGTCAATTCCATGATTTTTTCGCAGCACAAGGGATTTCTTTCCGGTTCTCATGCCCATATACATCGCAGAAAAATGGCCAATCAAACATACGAATTCCAAATGGCTCATCATTCCATGATAGACAAAAATGGTGGGTAATGTTCGTAAGCAAAGTTGAGCCACACAGCCGAGTGCGAGTGTTGAGCTGGCAAAAGCCGAAGCTATTCGGCCATTTGATGGCCCCTATGGAAAGATGTAATCTATCTTGTACCGCCCAACTAAACTAACAAGGAATAATACACCAAATAAGGATCTAAAATGACAGCTAACAATTCTAGGAACTTAAGTCTGTCAGTCCAGACTCATTTGTGGGTATGATAAGAGGTTAATAGGGTTTCTAAGCTTTTAGTCATGTACTGTGTTGTTACCTCGGTTAACCTCGGGGATTATTCGAGCTAAAATCGATTAGTTGCTAATCGCGGGAATATCATCTCGTTGGGCCACAGCCCACATAAGCCGAGCCCGTTATTTGGTGGGCCTTATCGAGGGGAGTATTCCACCACCTACAATAGGTTATATCAGTAAGGTTCTTGCTTTGTAGTCTGTTTATCTTGTTATAATGACAACTTGATAACTCATCTTTTCAAAACTAAATCACTAACCTAATTCAGGGTTTAGATTTCCAAAAACTTAAACGTTGCCATATTTAAACTGCACAAGTTTTTGGCAAAAAAAAAATAAGAAGAAGAAACTGTTTAGCTAGTGTCTTCTGGTTTCTATAAACCACCAGACTAAATGAACATGAATACAGCATGAAAACAGCTTCTCTATCGCCATGCTATCGAATTGGCACTGACAAATTCTTATGAGTTTTGATGCAATCTTAGTGGTAAAGTTTCTAGTTTGAACAATACGATGAATCGCATAATCATTTATTTTCCTATGTCAACACTCAGTTCAACAAAAAGATCAAAGCTTTTTAATGCGATAATAGCACTGCTTATAATAACAGTCAATTCCATGATTTTTTCGCAGCACAAGGGATTTATTTCTGGTTCTCATGGCCATATACATCGCAGCAAAATGGCCAATCCGAAAGAATGATCCGCGCAATTAATAATGCTGTCCGCAGCCTCCTCTTCCCGCTACTTTTTGGGTGGAGGCTTTGCACACAGCTGTTCATATTATTGAATGTTTTCAATTAAAGCTTTTTTAACCAAAAGTTTGTTACATCAGTTCTATATATACAGCATTGGTTTAGTAAAAGGAAGCTAAACCAACAAACTAAATACACAACCGGGATGGGATATGATCTAATACACGGCTGCAACGGCTTAAAGCTGACATGCATCCAAGAATAGAGTTAAAAAGACCCGGCTGCAACGGCTTCATCAGTATGTAAGCATGTTGGTTAGAGCTAGAAACATGCATCAGACGCAGGAAACCTGTCTTCACCTGATCACGAACCGTATGACAATCTATCTCCACGTGCTTAGTACGCTCATGGAAGATCGGGTTAGTGGCGCTATACATGGCGGACTTGTTGTCATAGAAGAACTTCGCCTGAGTTGTAACAGAGATGCCAAGACAAGTAAGGAGTTGTTGTAGCCAGATCAACTCAAACGTAGCATGCGCCATACTTCGATACTCTGCTTCTGTATTACTCATGCTAACCACATCCTGTTTCTTTGATTTCCATGTGAACAAGGCGTTCCCAAGATACACACAATAACGAGTGATAGAACGCCTACTATCCGGACATGACGCCCAATCAGAATCAGCAAAGGCATTGAGGAAAAGCTCAGAAGAAGCAGAGTAGAATAAACCTTGACCAGGGTTATTCTTGATGTATTTGAGGATCCTATGTGCAGCATGAAGATGAACATCTGTGGGAGCAGACATAAATTGGCTGAGGCAATGAACAGCATAGGTAATGTCAGGCCGAGTGATTGTAAGATACAACAAATGGCCTATCAATGCACGAAAAAGTGTAGGATCTTCCAAAATGGTTCCAGAATCTTTACGAAGTTTGACAACATGATCCATAGGAACAGAACTTGGTTTGCAACCCAAAAAACCAGCTTTAGAAAGAAGATTAAGAGCATATTTCTCTGGCAAACTGAAATCCCAACTGAAGAACGAGAAATCTCAAGTCCCAAGAAAAAACGTAAATCTCCCAAATCTTTGATCTTGAAATGCTGGTGGAGAATATCTTTAAGAGTCTTCACAGCCGACCCATCATTGCTAGCAATCATGATATCATCAACATAGATAAGAATTGCAGTGAATGATTTACCAGATTGACGAACAAACAAAGTGTTGTCAGAAGAAGATTGAGCATAACCAGCTTGGAGAAGCACATCAGCAAGACAATGATACCATTTCCTAGAATCTTGCTTCATCCTGTAGATAGACTTATGTAGTCGACAAACTGGATTAGGAGGCAGAGAACCAGAAGCTGGTGTATAACCTTGAGGTAAGCTCTTGTAGATTTCCTCATCAAGATCTTTGTGAAGAAACGCATTTGAAACTTCCATTTGCGTTAAGCTCCCAACCTTTGATAGCAGCAAGACCAAGAAGTAGCTTCACAGAAGCTAACTTAGCAACAAGGGAAAACATATCAGTGTAATCAACACCTTCCTGTTGCGTATATCCCTTTGCAACGAAGCGAGATTTGCGTCTTTCAACAGTCCCATCAGCTCTATATTTTGTAGTGAAAACCCACTTACAACCCACTACATTCTTTCCATAAGGAAGAGAGACAATAGTCCAAGTTCTATTATCATCCATAGAATGCAATTCATCATTAGTTGCTTTTCGAAACTCAGGTGATAACATGGCTTGCTTGAAGGTTGTAGGTTCAGGGTCAATAGAATAGGAAAAAAGGACATGCTGATAAAGCGGTTTGAGATTTGAATATGTATGAACAGAATCAAGTGGATAAATGGAAGAAGTAGTAGGAATAGAGGATTTGTGAACAAAAAAGAAGTGATAATCTGAGAGATAACCTGGAGTATGAGCAGTCCATTGTGGCCGTGATCGTAGTCGCTGACTCTGTCCTGAGATTGACGAAACAGTATCTCTAGGAATGGTCACAGTAGTTAATGCAGATGAAGATGATGGTAATGTGGATGATGCAGGCAAAGAAACATGATGCATTTGAATCACAGAATCTAAAATAGCAGGAGTTGAAAGTTGTAAAATCGCTTTAGTAAACAAACCAGAAGCAGGATCATGAGAAAATCAGTTATTTTATGAAAAGGGAATATATCTTCTTTGAAAATCACATTACGAGAAACAAATATGCGTTGTGTGTCAATATTCAAGACTTTGTACCCTTTATAACTAGGTGAATAACCAAGAAACACACATGAATCTGCACAAGGAGTAAACTTATGTCTATCTTTATCAAGAGTAGACACATAAGATAAACATCCAAAAGATCGTAAAAATGTGTAATCAGGTTGTTTATATGTAGGTTTCTCATATGGTGAAAGTTTATCAGGAAGAAGAGACAGAGTTCTACTAATAAGAAAGACAGCAGTAGTGATGCAATCAGTCCAATAAACCATAGGAACTTTAGATTGAAACAATAAAGATCTTGCCACATTCAAGATATGCCGATGCTTACGCTCAACAACAGAGTTCTGTTGTGGTGTATAAGCACAAGAAAATTGATGAATCATGCCATGTGTTCGAGTTATGTCATGAAAATCCAACTCAGGTTCATTGTTAGTTCGTATTGATTTTATCGTTGAGTTATACTTAGTCTTCACATGTTGAATAAAAGCAGGAAAGACAGTAGAAACATCACTTTTATTCCTTAGAAAGTAAATCCAAGTAACACGGGTACAATCATCAACCAATGTTAAGAAATATCTATAACCCTCTATGGACTCTACAGAGAAAGGACCCCATACAGCCATGTGAACTAAATC